TTTTATCTCTACTGCCACTTTTGAGAGGGTTGTGCTGTTGCTCCCACGTTGGCTTTTGCTCTTTTCTGGGGCCTGGCCGTCTGGGCGCAGCCCTTCGGAACCGGCTGCCAAGAGCCTCAGATCTCGGCGAGCACTCGCTGTCCTTCCGGGGGTCCCGGCTGGTCACACTGATGCAGCAAAAGAGTTGAGGGTTTAAGGTTTAGTTTAGGGGCGATCTTCACCATCCATCCTTGCATAATATAATCTGTCTATCTATCTATCTATCTATCTATCTATATAATATATATATATATACATACTCTCTTTCCGTCCGTCGGTCCGTCCGTCTCGTCTGAGTGTTTGATCAGAAACGAATTGAGGACTTTCTCGCCAGGGTCGCTGCAATCCGAAAGCCGATGCCCACCTCAGCCGCACCAACATGGGGGTCACGGATTTTGGTTCGGGGCTTGTGCGAAGGTGCAAAGGGCCCAGGAGTACAAGACTGGCAAGACTGGAGAACCCACGGAACTGCAACTTAAAGCTGCACTTGCTGCCGTGCTGCTGAAGACTGCGGTCGCAAGCGCTGAGGACAGCCTGAGCATTGCTGAGTATGAGGGCTACACATGCTACGCTGCGTGATTGCTGAGGAAGCTGACGTCAAGTTTCATTAAAAGCATCACTCCGAAGGCTGCAATCTGTTGGGGACAGCAGGGCAGGGAGCCTCATGAGAAAGAATGCTCGCGTCCTCTTGCAGGGAAGACTAACAAGTCTCAGGGCTAAGTGCAGCGCGCTGCAGCAAACAAGGCCTCCTGAGCCGCCCAGCAACTCCCTGCTTGACCTCAGTCTCAAAGATTTAGGGGCTCTGTAGGGTTTGGATCCAGACCTTGGGGTTTTCGACGTAGGGAGGGCCGCAGTCGAAAGGAAATTGCGGAACTCCAAATTCTGCTTGGCCACAGCAGGCGCAAGGCCAGCGTCCAGCGCAGCCCTTTCGCGCAGGCCTGCATCAAAGAAGTAGGGTTTTACGGTTTAGGGTTCAATCCCCACTTCGTCCCAGACTGTTCGTCCGCACCAACTCCACCGACTCCGGGTCGCGCCATCAGCAGAGCACCCTGGCTGTAGCCGTCCAGACCCACACCAAGTAGTGACCTGGAAAACATGTAGATCGATGTCAGTTCAGGAACAGAAAACTGTATCCAGCAGTAACTTCTGACGAGTCACATACGAGCAGCCAGTTCCATCGACTGCTCCCACTCCTGTCCTCCATCAGCTGAGGCTGAGAACACATCTCGGAAACTGTGCCCTGCCGCTAAAGCACAATCAGTTGGTACTTACTTCTTGCATGAATGTGCCACAGCGCAGAGTCCCGCAAGGGATGAGGAGCAGCAGTTTTTTTGTACATGTGGGCCCACCGATGCAACCTACAGGAAGCGCATATGGCAGTCACCACATTACTAGCACCGGATTCAAGCGGTCTGCATAATATGCGTACAAATCATTCCAAGATAATGTTTTCTCGAGGATGCGCTGACAGTAGCATCAAGAGCAGAGAAGCCATCACTCGAGTCCAATGCAACTTCCGAGCTTTCCGTTTGTGCCGTCGGGAAGATCAATCTTCAATCGGTTTAGGCTCCAGGTTGACCATGCACCATGCCACCTTGGCTGCCTAGGCTAAGTGGTCAAGATAAAAACAATTGACACCTGCACGCACCCACTACGCATGCATCGTATCCATCATGCGCATGCTGGTACAAGTCCACAAACATAGGCCTAAGCCGTAGCCTTAGCCTTAGCCCATGAAACCGAGGTGGACTACACGATACAGATTTGCAAGTGCACATCAGAGACGGCTACAAAAGGAACAAGACTCTTGGGACAGGAGGCAGTGCATGGGCGAAGATTACAAGGTTCCTTCCACCTTCCACAGCGAGGACTCCGTGCAAATCCAATCTGTGGACTCGGTTGTCTCTAGATGTGGCTTACTGGTTTCGGAAGGCTGTCGGAAGGCCCCATGTAAGGCAGTCGTGAACTGCAAGCCGCCGTTTTGCCCGTACCGCAAAGCCGAAGCACAAGGAACTTGCAGCAATAACTGAGGCTCTTCGCTCGAATTTTCTACTCAGTTCTCTTTGGGGCTTTGCCGACTCTCAGCAATGCACAGCCGACATGCATGCAACTAGTTGCAATTGCCATGTCCAAAAATTGTCCTCGAACCGATCGTCGAGGTTTCTCATGCTGCTGAGGCCCGCTACAGCTCGTGGCATGCTGCTCCATTAGCCCTGAGGCTACTTTCCCGCGCATCTTGCTTCAGGAGTGTACTTGATGCAATCGCCGTCAAGAGGCGGCACAGACAACAACCTGGGCCCTAGGCCAAATACAAGAGCCTGTGACAAATATGATCTATGCACCACTCTAGCTTTCAAGAATGCGCAGGAAGAGGTAGCAGCCAGCCAGAGCGGGCAGCAGTTTGGAAGGATGGGGCGAGGCCACAGTTGCTGCCCGCATCCGTAGCAAGGCCTAGCAAGAGTTATGTGCTCAGCCCCGACAGTTTCAACATCAGGTTATAATAACCAGTTAAGAACCAGACTAAATAACATGGTAGATCTCATATGATCTCATGGTGGGCGTAGAGTTCTACTTTCCGCTGACCTTCTCGAAACCTCGGAGATTGCCGTCGGCCCGCCTTGGCTCTTCACGCGGAGAGCGGCAGCACCTGCGACTCACCGTAGCTCATCGAGACTTTGGGGCTTGAACTTTACGGCTTGAGGGGTTAACAAGGGTTTACGGATCATAGAATCATAGATTGGTTCAGGGTGAGTAGGGGTTTGAGGGTTTAGGAGGGGCTTACATCTCCGAGTGCTGCGGCACCAGGGCTTCCGACTGATACAGCATACAGTGTTGCAACCGACCCGCTCAATACGGAAAACCCTGTTCTTCACACGTCTCGCCGGCCCGAGGTTTCCCGCGTGAGCAATGGGGACCGGGAACCCTAGACCCTAAACCCCGTAATGGGGACCTCCAAGGCAGCCCGGCGCACATAGATGGACTCATCGCCTGATGTTGGGTTTTTGGGAGTTCGCAGCTCCTGCAGTGGACAAAAAACATGACGAGTTAGAGTGGCTGTAGCGAAACAATGGTAGGCTCTGAAGCTCCGCGAGGGTTCGATCAAGGATTGTCGAATAGCAATACAGCAAAATATCTTCTACATCATCAACATCATCAGCAGCACCAGCATGAGCATGAGAAGCATCACTGCCGACCCGGCATCGATGGCATCGTGATAGTCACCCTTCTCCTTACACTTTGCACTTTACACTGTTCCATCATGCTAAAATCCAAGATACATTGGGAGGAAGCTATCCGAGTTCATACGGCCGTCAATCACATGTTGGAACTGGTGTAATCATAAGACGATTGCTGCAATACGAAGCTGCTCAGTAACAGAGCACCTCACTCACCAAAACATGCACTGGCTGCTGCGTTGCCTGCCGTGACCTCCTGCGCAGCTGCTGAGTTCTGATCTGTATGCATGCATGCACTGCCGAGTGGCGCAGGCCGCGGATCAAATAGTTGAGGGCTCGATGGTCATCTGGCAAGCGAGAAGTTTTGCCCACAGGTGGGAGGCCATAGTGGATGCTCACTTTGGACAAGCGCAGCGGTAGCCAATTCAAGTAAATGGGCAGGCTACGACACTGTCCAGGCACGGGTGGCACGGGGTCCACCCATCAACTGCTACACGGACCTAATCCGCACAAATCAGGACTTGGAGAGTGGCCGCAGTCAGTTGGGCTTCCGCACCTTCGCTGGCAACCTGGGCCAGCGCGCGGATGGCCTCCTCACGAATCTCGACGTCCTGCAGGCTTACACTGCGGAAACTGGCACGACTTGTCGCTATGGGCTGCCGTGCAAGATGCAAGGACAATCTCCGAATGTTTCGGTCTCGCCATAAGTGGGCCATACGCGTCCTTGTCATCCGCTCGTGCCAGAATCGTGTCAATGGCATGTGCATCGCCTTTGGCCACCACGTGGGGCAAAGCCTCCAGATTCTACCATGAAGCAAAGGCAAGAACCACAACTCAAACATTGGAATCCAGGGGCAGTCCGTTTAGATCTTTCCAACGTGCGCACCCCGTGAAAGCTGTCGCCACATTGAGCTTCACTCGACACACCCCCGAACCCAAGCGGATGAACTTCTTGAGTAAGTCAGGAGGCAAGAGCATGAGATTTTTATGCATCCGGACCAACCAGTGGGACATACGCTCATGAAACCACAGTTGGCAGCAGAGCTTCTGGCACTTGCTGCAAACGTAGCAGAACGCAGAAACGGACCGGGACTTGATAGCGAGTCTGAACCTGAATTACAAGAGCTTGCCGGACCGTTTCACACCGGCGGCTGTGTCAGATGTACAGTTCCTTGAATTGCTAAACCCACAGTGTGCACATGATCCGAACTACTATCCAGCAAAGGGGGGATTTTTCTTTGCAGTGTCAGGCTTTAGACTGCTTAGGAAAGCAACCGCATCAACTTGTACTGAAATTTTCTGAACAGATCCGATTGACGACGTCCAAAGCTGCGCCGAGACAGCCAACACCCTCATGACCCCAAAAGCCATAGCAATGCAATTAGGATGCATGGCCTGCAATGCCGCATGGCGCACAGCGAAGGCTGCGTTTGACAGCAATCCGGTGATGTGGTCCACAACTTCCTCGGCAAAAGGGGACATGGATTAGCACTGCTGTTAAAATGGGCAGCTATAGTAGCTTGCAGAACCAGCCAGGAGAGATGCACTCATGGCTTCAGCCAGGTTTGCCTATCGTCAGCAGAACTCCACTATGACTATGAACTGCAGTGGTCCGGGGCAAGCACGGGATCACCAGGAGCAACGAGGCATCGAAGAGCAGGGCCCATCCTAAGCTGTGCCAGGTCTACTTCCTTGAACAGTTCTGCTGTATTGCAGTGCCACGCCCTGCTGTCTGCTTCTTTGTGCGCCCGAGTGTCTCAGCCATGGCTGCGCCGCCGAAGGAGGAATCCTCAAATGACATGTTCCAGCAGAGAAAGGGTTCGTACTACCCCGGGATCTTAGTTCCAGGAGTCTTTGTCTTGGGGATCAGGTCCCGAGCCCGAGCACCGGGCCCTCAGACATGCCAGCAGCGAGGCCAGCACGTCGCGGTCCTCGCAGAAGCTTGCTGTGTGTCGTTGCTACATATCTCTGCCTGCAAGGCCATGCGCAGCGGCAGCTTGAAAACACATTGGGGGCCTTGTATACTTCCCCTGTGACAAAGCGAAGGGGTCCCCGCGGGCTCCTCGCGGCGAGCGACACGAGAAACGGCCCGCACCGCTGCAGCGCCTCCGGGGGCCAGGGACTGACCACTGTCGGCCCGAAGCGTTGCAACAAAAAAAGCTCGCGAGTCTCCCAATCTTTCACTGTTTCGGAATACTTGACAAGTATTAGCAGCAGTTGCGGTCGGAGTAGCAGCCGCAGTGGCAGTCGGCCTAGTAGTAGTACGAGTAATCATGATAATAATAATAATTATTATTATTAGTAGTAGTAGTAGTTGTTGTTGTTGTTGTAGCAGTAGCAGTAGCAGTAATTAGCAGTAGCAGTAGCAGTAGCAGCAGCAGCAGCAGCAGCAGCAGCGCAGCAGCAGCAGCAGTAGGAGTAGGAGTAGTAGGAGTAGGAGTAGGAGTAGGAGTAGGAGTAGGAGTAGGAGTAGGAGTAGTAGTAGTAGTAGTAGTAGTAGTAGTAGCAGTAGCAGCGGTAGCAGCAGCAGCAGCAGTAGTAGTAGCAGTAGTAGAAATAGCAATAATTATCCGTCGTTGTAGGAGTAGGAGGAGGAGCAGGAGGAGGAGTAGTCACGTTGCCGGAGACTTGGGCCTGCTTCGTCATGAGCTCCTCGATGCGCATTGCCGCAGTTTCATGCCTGACAAACTCTTGTTGAGGACTATGCTTAGCATATGCATTTACTACACTCTCAGAGCAAGGACATGAACACCAAATATAGCGCCTAGGTAAATGTAAAGCATCCCCACTTTACAATTGATGCTTGCTGTTCGGATGTCTATGACATTTATGAAACTAGCGGTCTTTGTGCAAGGAGTGCGTCAAAGTGGGCAATATTTCTAGCCTTGAGGTTTTGGCTGGTCTTTCGTCATCACGCGGCTGTACTCTGGCTAAGACTAGCCCTGCCCCTGCTTTGTCTTAAGAGCTCTAGCTGGTCCTGCTGTGGCATTTTGCTGAAGCTGTGCGTTCATGAGCTAAGCTCCCGGCGCACATCTTTCCATATCGCTGTTTCTTGCCTGAGGCAGATGCACCAGTCACGGGCAAGTAACAGTGCGAATCCGGCAGCTGTCGAACGGCCCGCAAGCCGTTGAAGTAAAACCGGTCTCATCAGCGAACGATCAAAGAGAAAGAGACAGGGAGAGAACAAACGAACAAAAACATGTGTGGGCATTTTACACATATGTGGTTGTGCGCTGTGCGTTCCGCCCCTCCCCCCCGCCCCCACAATGGTTACACGGGCCGGGGGCCTTAAGTTCAACAAGACAAGAGCACTGGGCCACACAGAACCCCCGTGCGAGAAGGTCCGCAGAGGGTTTATGAGGGCGAGTACAAGGTTTCTTCGGCTTTTCATAGGGTCTATAAAGGGGTTATTATATGTTATTATGAGAGGGGGAGTATAGGGTTCTAACTTCTATGAGGGCTTCAATAGGGTTTATCTGAGCTTTCCAGGATTGACAGAGGCTTTGTTCCAGTGCGCGCTCGAAGGCCTGGGACGGCGGGGTTCAATTCAAGGCTTTTCCTGACTAGTCGTACAAGCGCTACCTGTGCTTATTCGGGTTCGGAGGGGTTCAAAGCAAGGTTTCGTACGATTGGTACTACCTTAAGAGGGCTACAGGCTAAGTTATAGGCAATATTCACAATGATTATGGTACTTCGTAATATGATTAGTAGCAGTGAAAGAGGGTTAGAAGCAATACTTAGTATGTTTATTCGTGCTCAGAGGCGTTCTGATTCTAAGCAGTATCTCGAATGATTAGTATGAAGGTTATAGGCAATACTTAGTATGATTATTTGTGGCCAGAGGGGCTCGGGGTTCGAAGGGAGTTTCGACGAGTTTCGACTGCCTGCATTACCGCTTCAGGACATGAACCGCAGCCCTGCGCCCGGTAGCGAAGACGAGATACGATGCATAGGTCCCAAACGCAACTTCCCAGCTCTTCTCTCTGTACACCGACCATACCCTTAAGGCACCGAGTCTTCTTACCCACGCAGCTACGAGTCGCACCACCATCATCATCACCAGCATGCAGCGCACCTCCTGCTTGTGCAGCTCGTCATCCAGCCGCTGCCTCACTTTCCAGTGGTTCGTTTGGCACGACCCTGACGGTGAGTTTTACAGAAATTCTTCAGGGATTCATTGTGGTGTTCACAGGGGCTGCTCGCAGACTTTAGCAGGACTTGAATCCAAATCTTGAACCGACTAGACAGGACGGTGGAGGGGACTGCGATCTGAGTTGCAGAAAGGCTTGCATAGAGGCTGCAACGGGACTTGCTTTTCCTTGGCTCCCAGCGTTGCTGGATCCTGCAAAGGCCATTGCAGCAGCACAGTGCGGCCCTCACTGCAACTCGGCACAGTTCGTGGCAAGCAGCATGCGAGACGGTGCGACAGGCTCCTACGACCAAACGCGGTCTCGAACTTGATGCTGTCGGAACGCTGGTTGGTAGCGGCGTACTCCGGCGGCCGAAGCGCTTCCGTCAGTATGTTTGGCGGCAGCGGAGCATCGCCTAGGCGTTTACTCAGCGACTTTGGAAGGCGATGGCAGTTGCTCGGTCGGTGGTTCAGCCAGACATTCACCAGAAAGGTCACTCGCAGACCTTTGCTGTATTCCACTGACGGAACCGTGCCGTGAAGAAACTGTCCGTCGAAAACCAGGTGCTTCCAAAGTTTGGGCCAGCTAAGGGCACCTTCATATATGGGACCGTATGCCGATGTCAAACTAGGACGTCGTGAATTGCGACAGGCCAGCACCAAGGTCGGCGCACCCGAGTCTGACAAATAGGTCACTGTGCTCAAATGTGGATGCACATTCACATCGTGGCGCTCCACAGCAACCTCGTCTGTGTCCCAGTGGAAATGTATACCCTCCTCATGATGGCCGCTCTGGCGAACTTGAGCCCACCACTCTGCGCCCGATCGAGCCGGATCGAACCTGCATCCCGCGGTATGGTGCCTGAAGACGGCCATTGCAAGACGTTCTGCAAAGCAGCGTGGAGTCTCGTGACAGGGCATCCACGACGAGCCATCCAATGCGAAAACCAAGCGGCAAGTCTTCAACATCCGCTCCAACTCCTGATCGCCAAGCTGTTGTATCCAGCACGTCCGAGTCTCGAAGCACATGGCGTCTGCCGAGGCCGTCCGAGCCTCCACATTCAGTTCAGGCATCCGCCAGGACTCGTCCTCCACATCTTCCTCACGACCCAGGTCCGCAGACAGGAGCTCCAAAAGCCGTCTTCGTTGCTCCTTTTGCGGAAGCCGCCGTAGTGCCGCCACAGAGCTCTGAGAGCGAGGGAAGGCCCGGGAGGTCCTGGCATCCTCGGGATCCTCGCGCTTCGCAGCCTTGCTCGCGGATACTTTGGATACTTTCGCCGCTTTCGCCTTCTGCCGGACCTTCCAGCGGTGCTGCAGATTACGTCGGCGGGCAGGAGGACACTTCATGACAAACCGTGAAGCAAACGTTGGCTTCCTTTGTTTGCAACACACTGTGGTGATGCACGGATTGTGCGGGTTTTGCTGTTGCAATCCCTTTCCGGGCTGCACCATTGAACCAACATCCTCACGCCTTGATCTTCACACATACAAATGTCCCCCAGAGCTCTTGCCACAACACCACGGGCATGAACTTGACTGTCTAAAAATATGTCACACATGAATGAATGCATCGACCGGACATTCGTAAAAGGGCAAGGTTCGATAAAACTGTCAAGAGACAACGAACCCCAATTGTCAATGTTTCCCCGCTCACCTACAGCCCCCAAACCATCCAGCCTCTAAAGCCCCCATCTTGAGCTGAGACTTGAACCTTGCGACCTCGACGTGCTGCAGGATGGATGCCTCCAAATTCCGGGCGGTTAGTGGGTGGGTTTTGCGACCCGTGTCGTCAAATTTCGCAGTATGTATGTATGTATGTATGTATGTATGTATGTATGTATGCATGCATATATGTGTGCCCAGGATGTGTGTGACGGGAAGATGGAAGACTAGCGTTTCGAACTTGCGGCAGCGAGTATGATGTTGCACCTACAGCTCCGAGTGAGGAGCAATGGACCTAGTAAATACGCAGACTTTGGAAATCCGTGAATGCTTCAGCACATCTTGATCGATGGGTTGCCACCGTGCATGCCGCCAGACATACCCATGCCCATGCCTGCCAGCAGACTGGTGATGCTCGTATCAGCATCCTAAACTCCGACACGGCCCTACCCTAAGCTGTCAAATCCCACTGCATGCACTCTTACCTGCACGGAGAAAATGCCAGCTGTCAGCACTTGGTGCGCAGTATTCATGATACGAGGATGTCCCTGGATTAGAAAGTGGGCTCCCATCCCATCAGCCCTATTTCAATGTTTTGAACACCTAGGGCTACTGTCTCCGTGTCAAACCACCGAGAACCGGTGACGGTAACCGGTGCTGCTTGTGCTGCAAAGGATCCGGGAAATATCTGGCCTTCTCAAGCTCAGAGGCCTCGCGGGCATGCCGCAGCTCGTCAGCAGACTGGGACAGGTCGGCAAGAGGCTGGTGTTGCTTTTGCCGTAACGGGGGCGGGGGGGGCAAACACATCTTCTCATGCATGCCTTTAGATGAATCTAGATTTGCATCTATCTCTGCACGGTCTGCATGTCGGTCCGTCTTCCGTTGGTCTGAACAGCCATGCTCAAGTTAAAGATTGGTTGAACCAAACAATTAATGAGCCCCAAATCAATGACTCCCGACGTGTATGTGTATGT